CTTCAATGCGAAGAGCAAAACTGTATAAATGAATAAAAAATAACTAAATATAAAAATTAATTAAATATGAAAAACTATAGTTTGAATACCCCATTGTCTAGACTAGTATTTCTTCATATTGTAAACTTTTACTACATTATAAAAAAGTAGCTATTCTGTAATCTTTAAAAAGCTTGAAATAATGGAGGCCTGCAGGTGGCATGGTGGGGAAGGCACTGGATACTCCCACGTGGCTGACCACAGTTTGAGTACCGGACCTGGTGGCTTGCTTTCTCAATTTCCCTCTCTCTCTCTCTCTGTCTCTCTCTGGTCAAATGAAGATAAATGAATGAATAAATAAAATTAAATAAATAATAATTTTAAATGTTTAAAATAATTTAGAATTTACACTTATTATACCAACTATTTGACAAAACTAATACAAAATGTTTAATCAGACCAAGCAAGGCATAGTAAATTTTATAAATTTGTTCTCTCAGGTTTTTAAAATTCAATACAAAATAAGAAAAGTACACTTTTTCCTGATAATCTTAAATACATTAACTTTTGATTATTGTTAAGAATAAACAGCAATTGCTTAGAAATAACATTTTTTAATATAGTTTTTACTATTATTGCCAGAGGGCACATGAGCTCACTAGAGAGACAGAGATACCAAAAGAGAGAGACAGAGAAAGAAGAAGCACAGTACAATGGGGCATGGTTACACCACAAATCCTTTTTCCTCCATTTCGCCATCCTAATGGGATGTTAGGTCTGGACACATATGTACCTAGCATGTGTTTCAAGCCCCTGGAATTGGGATTTGAACTGCGGTTAGTAATGTGGAATCTGATTAACTATGGACAGAGCTTAACCACTGCACTAATGGTCTGGACCTTCAAAGTAACTTATTTTAAAAAAATAATAATAATTTATTTTACTTTATTTATTTTAATTTGACCAGAGAGGGACAGAGTAAGAGAGAGAGGGAAGGAAAGTGAGAAAGCAAGCCGCTAGGTCTGGGACTTGAACTGCGGTTGGCCATGGGGGAGTCCAGCGCCCACAATCACCACACTACCTGCCAATTCCAGTAATTCTTTTTTTAGAGAGAGGTTTTTGTTATAGGGTGTGTGCGCTCACCAGAGACAGAGAGAGAAAAAGTGAGAAATCACCCCCCAGGGGAAATGGCCATGCCACAGTCCCTTCTCCTCCATTCTCCTCTTGGTATTTTGAGCACATACACACACTCAACTGGCACGAGTTTCAAGTCACAGGGTCTGGGACTCAAACCATCCATCATGTGGGAGTCTAACACCATAATCACTATACCACCTTCTGGCCCCTAGAGTAACATTTTTAAATGCAGTCTAATTAAGAGAAAAGAATATCCAAATTTGCTTTTAAAATCATTTCTGGACATTTAGAATGTGTCTAAAACTACAGTGTTCTGCTCTAAAAGACCAAAATATATAAGCAATTTTTTGTTGTATATTCTGCTTTGCAAAAAGTATAAACTGTCCAAATGAACAAGCAAAGCCAAGGTTTCCATACAAACGTCTCCTTTATAAACATTCTCATGATATTATGTTGAGAGAAAAAAATAAATAAATGAAAATTGTTATGTGGTTCTTTAAAGATGAGGGTCAGCATTTTTTTTTTTTTAATATTAGAACACTAGCATTTAAAAAGTAAAGGATTCAACCACCAGCAGAATTGTCAAACTGTCTTTCCAGTTGAGGCCTACAATGTTCAATGTGTTGTTAATATGTTTTATTTCCTGAGTTTATGAATAACTGATCTCTAAAAGATACAGTCCATAGACTCTTTGGTATTGAAATGGGCTTCTCTCTCAGCTCATGACTAAATATTACATAAAAATGGTAATGTCTGTTTGCAAGGATGGTTCCCAACTAATGTCTTTTTTTTTTATTAAAGAATTATTCTATTTGACTTTATTTATTTATTTTAATTTGATGAGAGAGAGAGAGAAGAAAAGTGAGAAAGCAAGCCGCCAAGTCTGGGACTCAAACCACCGTCAGACATGTGGGAATCCAGCGCCCTTAACTACCACAATACCTGCTGCCCCCCCAACTAATGTCTTTTAAGCACATTGGGACCTACTGACCAGATATGACATATGTTCATATAATTTGTATTTTTTTCCTAGAAATTTCATTTCTGCCTCTCTCATATACTCAAAAAGTTAGTGTTTCATTCACAAAGTTTTTGTAAACAGTGCTTGTGTCCAAAAAAAGTATGGTAATATGTAGTTCTGTGGCCTTTGCTTTCCTACTACTAGCAAGTGATCTGGTGGTACTTGCTAAATAGTTGTTGTATTGCATGGAATATTTGAAAAAGAAAACATTGGAGCTGTTTATTAAAGCCTGCTATAAAAAATTTCAGTAGACAATACAGTATATAACATGATTTATCACAGTAACTCGTCTCAGTGAGTTAGCAAGAGTTCAGAGACAATCGAAGGTAAATTTAGGATTCATTAGTATATATTCAGAAGCAAGAATCAATTAATTATGGATATTTTGTCAAATAATTAGAGGCTTTTCATGCCAGCAATTAGAAAAACAGAATTTACATTAAAGCTGCAAATAATATGAGACTAACTTAACTTCTAAAATCCTTAGTATTCATTTAGTCATTTCAGTTTCAAAGACTCTTCATATGCAGCCCTCATTTTGCCCAATTCTGATATGCCTGAATTCCATTTACCACAGCAGAAACAGTAGTAGTCTTGCAACAGTACGGTTCGAATGTCAGTTACCATGGTAACTGACAACTAACTATGAGTAACTGCATAGACATAAACTTCGCTGCCACATCTTCAGTCGATAAACAACTACCTAAATCACAGATGCCTTTTGTGATCCACTCCTACTCACTTCATCTCCTTCAGTATGGCTGGGATTGGCCACAGAACATCTCTTCCTCGGTTCCAACCCCAACAGTGAACCATCCAGTAGTGTTGTTGTCTTTTTGTCTCCCAGTGATAAACCACATGACAGTTTACAAAAATGAGTAATTGAGGAAGAACGGGCCCACAAAGATGAAAGTGCAGCAAAGAAACACATGAACAAAAGATAATGCAGCAAGTAAAATGCAAACCAAGTGTAAACAGAGTCAAGAGAGTGTAGTTGGCCGTGGAAATGTGGATGCTGCTGTCTGAGTCTACATATCTGGTCTCTAAATATACATGGAAATGAAGAAATGGAATATGAGTATGTCCTAAAGAAAGTAAAACAAGCAAAAAAAAAACTTCCCATTAAGTGGATTCTCAGAATTAGTTCAGGATATTGAAGGTATAAAGGGTAAAATATTGAGGGTTGATCCAAACTTTCGAAGGACTCAAATTAATCAGAGCATAAAAAAGCAGCTCACTTCCTATTGTAAGTTACAGATGTAGGACGCAAGCACTATTCAAACTACTTTTCATAATTTTCTTTCTTTTTTTTTTTTTCTTTGGAGAGGTTTTTGCTATAGGGAGCATGTGCTCGCCAGAAAAACAGAGTGAAAAAATCCCCCCCCTGCCCCCCGGGAGATGGCCACGTCACAATCCCTTTTCCATTCTCCTCTCAGGATCTTGGGCACGTGCACATACATGCCCGGCGTGAGTTTAAGCCACTGGGTCTGGGACTTGAACTGCGGTCGACTGCATGGGAGTCCAGTAACATAGCCATTATGCCACCTGCTGGTCCCAACTTTTCATAATTTCCTAACCAAGAAATAAAATCCTTTAATTCTCCATGCTTCTAATGTTTTAAATTGCAAGGATGTACTAAATAGGATTATTCCTTTTTTTCAAATTCTCTGTCCATTTATAATCACGATTTAAGAGAGTTTTTAATATTTCGACAAACTTTATTTATTTATTTTTTTAGTTTTTTGTCATAGGGGACATGCGTTGACCAGAAAGAGACAGAGAAAGAGAAAGTGTGAAATCACTCTCTAGGCGGATGTCCATATAGCAATCCCTTCGCCTCTATTCTCCTCTCGGCATGCACACACACATGTCCTGCATGGTTTTCAAGTCACCAGGTCTAGAGCTCAAATCGTGCTTGGCCATGTTTGAGTCCAGTTCTCAGCACTGCAGCACCTCTTGGCCCCTTTAACAAACATTTTAAAGAGTCACAAGCAACCGTAATTTTCTCATTGATCATTCAGATTCCTTTGCATGGCTTTAGGCTTCATAGCCATTTGTAGGGTCCCGTACCATCATGCAAAGCTAGGACACCTTTAGGTCATTTTGTGTTACCTAAATGCACTTTTTCTCACGTTATTCAGAGTAGGAAATGTTAGGGTAGGAAAGCAGCCCAGATACTTACAGATCTGGTCTGTGTGAACCAGTGTTGACATGGGACCTAAAAGTATAGTCTGTCCAGTTAATGGATCTTGAGACAAATGTGGGTGCATTGGATGATGGAGATGGCCACCATCGTTGGAAGCACCTATAGAAGATAAAAAGATGCTTGCATTAGTGAAATTTAATCAGGAACAGCAAGTTTACCTTGGAATAAATGCTTTGATTGACAGCTTACATATTGCTACTTTGCAAAGTGCTTTTTGGGAATTCAAAAATAAATTGCTAGAACCACTGCCACATTAAGGACAATGTCAGCTTTCACTGTACATTGGCCAGATTAATGTTGTATCATATTATGTTGTATATTAATAATGGACCTTGTGCGCCTTTTCCTGGAATCATTAGGTTTTCTGCCTGTTGTTAAGGCAATTCCAAGAATCACTTACCTCAAGTTGATAGTATTTGGGATCACCCTAATAGCATCAACAACTTTTATTTCAGAAAGATATCATTAGGATCACATTAAGCACCAGAAAACTAAAAATAAATACAGTGATTTTACAAGGAAATTTAATCTAGATCAGAACGCAAAATAAATGATGTTTTAACTTATTCCTGACGTTCATTGCAGCAACAAAATCTCATTTTTCCCTTCTGCTGTTTTGTGTCAATTAATTATTTCAGGAACAAAATGTTCATTGTTAAGTTATTTACTACATATATTTTTAGGTTATGTTGTAATTCTAGTATCCTTGAGGCTTGAAGAGATCAGGGCATAAAAATAAAAATATAATATGCTTCAAAAAGTCCTAAAAACAGGAAATATGTTTTTATTTACTGTGTTTGAGAGGATTGAAAATTGAGATGCACACACACATGTCCTGCATGGTTTTCAAGTCACCAGGTCTAGAGCTCAAATCGTGCTTGGCCATGTTTGAGTCCAGTTCTCAGCACTGCAGCACCTCTTGGCCCCTTTAACAAACATTTTAAAGAGTCACAAGCAACCGTAATTTTCTCATTGATCATTCAGATTCCTTTGCATGGCTTTAGGCTTCATAGCCATTTGTAGGGTCCCGTACCATCATGCAAAGCTAGGACACCTTTAGGTCATTTTGTGTTACCTAAATGCACTTTTTCTCACGTTATTCAGAGTAGGAAATGTTAGGGTAGGAAAGCAGCCCAGATACTTACAGATCTGGTCTGTGTGAACCAGTGTTGACATGGGACCTAAAAGTATAGTCTGTCCAGTTAATGGATCTTGAGACAAATGTGGGTGCATTGGATGATGGAGATGGCCACCATCGTTGGAAGCACCTATAGAAGATAAAAAGATGCTTGCATTAGTGAAATTTAATCAGGAACAGCAAGTTTACCTTGGAATAAATGCTTTGATTGACAGCTTACATATTGCTACTTTGCAAAGTGCTTTTTGGGAATTCAAAAATAAATTGCTAGAACCACTGCCACATTAAGGACAATGTCAGCTTTCACTGTACATTGGCCAGATTAATGTTGTATCATATTATGTTGTATATTAATAATGGACCTTGTGCGCCTTTTCCTGGAATCATTAGGTTTTCTGCCTGTTGTTAAGGCAATTCCAAGAATCACTTACCTCAAGTTGATAGTATTTGGGATCACCCTAATAGCATCAACAACTTTTATTTCAGAAAGATATCATTAGGATCACATTAAGCACCAGAAAACTAAAAATAAATACAGTGATTTTACAAGGAAATTTAATCTAGATCAGAACGCAAAATAAATGATGTTTTAACTTATTCCTGACGTTCATTGCAGCAACAAAATCTCATTTTTCCCTTCTGCTGTTTTGTGTCAATTAATTATTTCAGGAACAAAATGTTCATTGTTAAGTTATTTACTACATATATTTTTAGGTTATGTTGTAATTCTAGTATCCTTGAGGCTTGAAGAGATCAGGGCATAAAAATAAAAATATAATATGCTTCAAAAAGTCCTAAAAACAGGAAATATGTTTTTATTTACTGTGTTTGAGAGGATTGAAAATTGAGGTAAAAGGGACAGTGTGAAGTAAAGATGGTGAAGACTAATAAAGAAGAGGGACTTGAATCAAGTATTTGTTCAAGTATTTTTGTCCCACTCTTATGGGTTTTACAGGCTTTTCAAATGTTAAAAAAAAAAAAATGAGTTCACTATGTCATGGCACTAGAAGAAAAAGGGCAGCCACACAGAATAACTTCAAAGTTGAAATAAACATGGCCCCAAAAATACAGCACACTGTTTTAACATATTTAATCTGATGCTAACCAATAAAGTAGAAATTCTAGGGGCTGGCTTGAGATGCAGTGCCAACTCAACACTTTGCAAGGCTGACCCACATGGGAAAGTCCCAGATTCATGTCGGGAGACCTTACGGAAAAAGCTGGGAACATGGGTGCTTAGGATCCGGAGCTGACCGAAGCTGGAGGTGGGTAGCCGTGTGAAGACCCTGTTAGGATGTGTTTCTGTCTCTTTTTCTTGCTCACAGAAAAACTAAAATAAATGGACATTTTTTTTGCTTATTTGTTTTTTGTTACAGGGTGCTTGCGCTTGCCAAACACAGGAAAAGAAAGAAAGAGGGAAAGTGAGAAATTAATCCCTAATGGGGGATGGTCACACTGCAGTCCCTATTCCTCCATCCTCTTCTCTGGATTTTGGGCACACATGCACATGAGCACTGTGTGTTGTTCAAACTGCGGGGTCGGGGACTCCAACTGTGGATTTGGCCATGTAGGATCCAACTGCCTTAGCCTCCATGCCAACTGCTGGCCCAGTAAACAGAAATCCTTAAATGTACTCACCACCCAGTAACATTTCCTGAAGTAGGTTGTCAATTTTAACCATTCCAAAAAGCTTAACAAACTGTATTTGTTCAATCATTTGCCATGTGATGCTCTGCAGAGTGGGCAGGAGCAGAAGCAGCTCCCCAAACCGGCCCCGGGAGTCATACTGCCGATCATTGATGTAGTCCTCCAAGCTGATCTGCACCTGGAACCGCATGTTCTTAATTTTCATTGGGTCGCTTAGCCCTTTTGCATCTAATAAAGAAATATAAAGAGCAGTCTGAAGATTCCATCTAAGCAGAGGGTGAGAGTAAATACTCCAGTATTTAAAAAATAGTTTAATTCCTACGGTATTCATTTTCAATGTGGTTTTGAAAACAAACCTGGATCAAAAAATACAATCGCCTTCAAACAAGCATACTCATTGTCATCAATCTGGATTTCTTGAAATGGTCGAACCAGCTCGTCTAGAACCCGGTTGGCCACACGGCTGATCTCGACCTCACAGCTGTTGCGGTGAATAACATAGTTGTTTCCTATGGGAAAAACAAACGTAATCACATTTCCCTAAAACTTGCCAGGCATTATTTAAAATTTTACAAACCTATGCTGACAATGAACTACCCTTGAAGAAATGGTAATAGTACTTCCTCTGTCAGTAGTATTAAGCTAGTTATGATAGAAAACCTTAAGAATACTTAATGGATCAATAACATTGATAAAGTGATCACATGCATTTTAACAGCTTCAGTCACTGATGATAACGTGAAGGACAGACTAATAGCAAGCTAATCATTGACAAGGAAGAATTAAAATGTAATGATTAGCTTTCTTACATGCAAGTCATCTATTAGTGCCTTACTCATTAATAAGCATAATACAAATCCTACAGGGTATTTCTTGCTTACAGTAGATTAATAACAGCATTCCTTTGATGCCCTTGGCATATGACACAATAATAACTGTTGAGACAGGTTTATCAAGACTAAGTAAAGCAGGCTGATCTTTCAAAATTAGCACATGTATTCTTGTGAGTTGCTTTATTAGATAGTATATCTCCCCTTCCTGAGTTTCTTCCTTTACTTTCTTTTTCTTCTTTGCTAAGGTGCATGCACTGGCCAAAGAGAGACAGAGAGATGGAGAGGTAGAAAGAATTTCCCATGGGAAATGGTCATACCACAATTCCTTCTCCTCCATTTCTCCATCTTAGGGGTTTGGGGAATACATGCACATGTATAGGGTGTTTTTTAAGCCACAGGGGCTGAGATTCAAACAACATGGTCAGCCATACGGGATCGGACTGCCTTAAATGCTAGCTGGACACCTGTGCATTTCCTTAAGTGGAGGAGGAATGACCATTTTATGAGGTCGAATTCAAGGGCATACAGAAATTGGATAGATAGAGGCTGGCAGGTGGCATGGTGGTTGGGGTGCTAGACTCCCACACGGCCAACAGCAGTTCAAGTCCTGGACCTGGAGACTTGCTTTCTCACTTTCTCTCTCTCAAAATTGAAAAATAAACAAAATTAAATAAAATAATCCTTAAAAAAAAGTAAAGAAATTATATATATGGCTGAACCACCTGATCCCTAATGATCTTTCTAACTTAGAAATCTCTGGGGACCAGCAGTTAGCGTAATGGCTATGTCGCTGGACTCCCATGTAGTCGACAGCAGTTCGAGTCCTGGACCCGGTGGCTTAAAACTCACGTTGGGCGCGTATGCGTGCCTGCCCAAGATCCCAAGAGGAGAATGGAGGAGAAGGGATTGCAGCGTGACCATCCCCTCTGGGGGGTGATTTCTTGCTTTCTGTCTCTCTGTCTCTCTCTGTCTGTCTGGCGAGCGCACACACCGTATAGCAAAAACCTCTCCAAAAAAAAAAAAAAAAAAAATCTCTGGCTGTACCATGATAAATAGTTGTTAAAGCTTCTAAAATCACAGTTAATTGCTTTTTTTTCTGGTTTTATAAAAAAGCAGAATATTCTGAGTTCTTTCACTGCAGGCAAAGACAATCATCAGAGTAACAATATTTCCCAATTTCCCAAAGAATTTAATTCAATGTAGACTTTTTTGCTTCCAGCTTTATTGAAAAAAAAATGTGCACATATTTAAGGTGCATGTTGTGATGCCTCAATATACAGATACATTGTAAAATGATTACCATTGTCAAGCTAATTAACATATTCATCACCTCACATGATTATCATTCCCCCCCTTCTGTTTTTTTGGAGAGGTTTTTTGTTATAGGGCGCGTGTGCTTGCCAGAAAGACAGAGAGACAGAGAGATAGAAAGCAAGAAATCACACCCTGCCCCCCGGGAGATGGCTATGCTGCAATCTCTTCTCCTCCATTTTCCTCTCATGATCTTGGGCATGCATGCACACATGCCCAGTGTGAGTTTAAGCCCCCGGGTCCATAACTCGAACCGCGGTCGACTACATGGGAGTCCAGCGATGTAGCCATTATGCCAACTGATCATCTTTATTTTTCCCTTTTTTGAGCCCCATTCTTTCTTATGGAAAGTCAGCTTGCCTAATTTTTCAGGGTAATATAAAATACATTTTGTTTTCTAGGTGTACTGTACTCACATCTATAATGAGAACAGGATTTTAAGTGTTCACTAGTAAAGCAAGAGAAGTATTTAGTAGAACAGAGCACAACGCTTGCAGTAACATTACATGACTTAGAATCTTGGCACTATCCTTTTCTAGTTCTGTGATCTTAGGCAAACTTTTTCAGCTTCCATTTCTTCATCTCCAAAAATGTGTTGAAAACAACAGTTCTAATCCTTAAGGATTATTTTGTGGATTAGATGAAAGAGTAACTCAAATGCAGGTAAATCACTAGGAGCCACATACGGTAAACCCTCATAAATACCAACTAGTGCTATATTGTGTCCCAGTTCATTGATATTCGGGGGCAAAACACCTAACAAAAATATAATGATCTACTCATCACTTCTCACAAGCTGAACGAGGTGGAGCTAGTAAGCATCAGAAGGATCTTAGCCCTCGGAACCTGATTTTAGGGGTACTTAAGATGGGGGGATCAGAGTAATTACCTAACAAAGACAATAGCTTTTCTTGTGTGTCCTTCGCACTGCGCCAGTAATCCTACTTCTGCTGCTTTTAGTATTCCTACCAGGATGTTTCAGACACTGACATCCAATTTCATTTGGTTCATCTGTAGCATATCATAGCCAATGACATCATAGGACATAAACATGTTCCTTAAGATTGTATTAAATAGGAGCCAGCAGGTGGCGCGGTGGTTAAGGCTCTCTATTCCCACATGACACACAACTGTTTGAGTTCCAGACCTGGTGACTTGCCAGGTTCATGTGCTTGTATGCCTGAAATCTCAAGAGGAGAATGGAAGGGATTGTGGCATGGCCATCCACCTTGGGGAGAGATTGCTCTTTCCCTCTCTCCGCCTCTCTCTCTCTCTCTCTCTCTCTCCAGTGAGCACCCATGCCCTATGGCAAAAACCTAAAGAAAACAATTGTATAAAATATGACTGAGTCCAAGTGCTGCTGGCTGTGTGACAGACCACAGTGGTGGAAACCATATGGTGCACTGCTGATTTGTACCCTCAGCCTGGTTGATGTGAAACATGCTGGGTGTTCCTATGTGTGCCTAAAATCCTACTAAGCTGGAGAACGAGAGAAATGGGATTGTGACACTCTAAGACCCTGAGGAGGGTGCTTCTTGTCTTTTTTTCTCTTTCTTCTTTTCTCTCTCTCTTGCAATGCATGCTCTCTATCATGATTAGAAATAAATTTTAAAAAAAAATTTTTTTGGAGAGCTTTTTGCTATAGGGTGCGTGCACTAGCCAGAAAGAGAGAGAGAGAGACAGAGAGACAGAAAGCAAGAAATCACCCCCCAGGGGGGATGACCATGCCACAATCCCTTCTCCATTCTCCTCTCGGAATCTTGGCACACACGCACACACACACGTACACACACACACACCCGGCATGAGTTTAAGCCACCTGGTTCGGGACTCAAACCATGGTCAACTACATGGGAGTCTAGTGACACAGCCATTATGCCAACAGCTGGCCCCAAATTTTAAAAACTTTAAAAAAGCATATAGAACAATTAAATAGACACAGAGAAAGTATGAAAAAACAGTGGGATTCCATAAGCTTGTCACTTAAATCACTAATCCTTTGTCACATGATTTAAACATACCTCAATATTACATTTGTTAAACAATGTCTTTTTAAAGTTTTTAAATCTTAATGCTTCCTTATCTTCTCATTGCACTCTAAACTTACATGCAACCAAGCCAAGGAAATACAGGGCAGGTAACATAATCAATTAAATCCAATCTACAAAGTGCAAACACTATTTAGCAGCATCTACGAATGCTTTGTACACACAGAGTAGATTCTCTTTATTACAGTGAGGATGAAATATGCGTAATTTCTTTTGAAATTAAAAAAGAAAAAACCTTACCCAAAAGCAAAATATCTTTATACATCATGGATCTCTTTGTAGCTCCCAGCAGTAAGTGTTCCCCTGCGTGAGCTCTCAGCAGTGCCACCTTAATGAAATATTTCAAGTTTAACAATCAATTATAAAATACAATGATTAAAAGATAACATAATAGAAGCCTGATTAACTTCCTGTGTTCTTTAAGCCTGGGTCTTTTTTTGTTTCGTTTTAACAAACTCATATTCATTGATACTTGCCATCAGTAAGTTTTGTAGTTTTTTCATCTTAGTATATCACTGTTTAACAAGTTCATACCATGGCAACAGAAAAAAAGTAGTCCAGCTCACCATTTTAGAGGGTCACAAAAATAAATAGACCAGAGTTCAAATCCTAGTTTAGTCACTTACTACCTGTTTAAGGTTGGGTAAGTTAGCCAGTATATTTGGGACTTGTTTCTGTCTAAAAAAATGAAGTAGTGATTTAAAAAATCTCAAGGTTGGGACCAGCAAATGGCATAATGGTTACATGTCTGGACTCCCACATAGTTGACCACAGTTAAGTCCCAGATCTGGCAGCTTAAAATTCACTTCAGGTACGTGTGCGCGCAAGCCCAAATCCTGAGAGGAGAACTGAGAACGGATTGTGGTGTGGCCATCTCCTTAGGAGGTGATTTTTCACTTTCTGTCTCTCTGTCTCTCTCTCTGTCTCTCCAGTGAGCACATGCACCTTAATAGCAAACATCTCACTAAAAGAAAAAAAAAATTATATATGTAAAACAAAATCTCTTACCCATAATAAGCTAAATAAACAAGGTGAGGGCTTATAGTAAATAAAGGATGAGGGTCTGGGTTCTGCCACTTTCCACCTTCAACCTCTAACTCTCCACAGTAAAGTTTCAACAGAGCTTCACTTGCACACTGAGCTACTGGTTGGGCCTAACTGCTAGAGAATACAGAAAGCACTTCAAATTCAACACATGCCTATGTAATGCTTCTCCAGCATTTCATCTTAAATGGCCCCATCATGCAAAATGTTTGTTCACTGAAACACAAGAGTTTATTTTGAGTCCTCTCTAACTCTACAGCAAATCCTAATGCTGGGGCTCAAAATATGGGGCAGATCCATCTGTCGCCTTCCATTTCCAATGCGACCTCCCAAGTCCAGACCCATATCATTCATTATGTGGGCTACCGCAAAACACTCACAGAGATGGCTACTTTCTTTCAGGGTTTCCTCCATCTTAAATCCTTCCTGACATAGCTTCCAAGATGAAAGTTGTATAATGGTAATCTCTTAATATTATCCTCCTGTTGAATAATCTTCAATGGTTTCTTATTGTCCTTAGGAAAAAAATCTAAAGTCCCCAAGCATGGCCTCACAGGTGATTAGAGGAGTAGCACAAAGCTTTCCCCTCCCAGCCCACGTGTCTGACTTTATGTTGCAACATCTCTTGTTCCTGCCTGACTCAGACACTTTGAACACGGTGTTCCTGTATCTGGAATGCTTTCTCCTTGGGTCTTAGTGTGCTTGGTCTCTTGACATTTAGGTCTCAGAGAGTATCTTGTGTGATCATCAATGAAGAGACTCTCTGAACTATCCCACCCCTATTCTCCAACGAGTCATCCTATTCCATTTTGTAGTATGTTATACAACTCATCCCCACCTCTACTGAACTTACTCATAATTCGTATATTTTTTATTGTCTGTCTCTCCCAAATAGAATGGAAACTTTATGAGAATAGGAAGGCAATATGTCTTTTTATTGCTGACTACCTAGTTCCTAAAACTGAATAGTATTTTCTTAATATATACTCATTTGATGGATTTCCTGAATGAATTGAACTGAACTAGAGTTCAGTTTAATAAACTATAAAAGGAAGACAACAATGCCTATGCCACACAGAACTCCTGAGAGAATTACATAGAATGATGTAGTTTATAATGTAATGGAAAGCTAATTTCCCAGTGCCTTACCCATAATAGACATTCGCTAATCCATGGTTATTAATATTATACTATTAATAATAAAGTATCAGCCAATAATTATTTTGACTAATTATAGATTTCAATTTCCCAATTTTTAAATCATTTCAAAGGTAAGCCAGCAACTTCTAAACGAGAATGATAATAAAAATATAAAACTGATAACTAACATAACCCTATGTATATTGCTTGGGGTGAAACTGGTAGGTTTTAGCAACTTAGCATTATTCACTCTGCCATAACCTCTGAGCCACGCTATCTTTATGATATGTCAATAACTATGAATCATACCAGGAAGGCAGTTATAGAACATTTTAAGAATGATTTCAAATTTCACAACATTTATTTTTCTGTCACCAGGTGAAATGCTTCCTTAGAAATTTAACTAACTTCCTTTCTTTCCCTTGGTGAGACAACAGTTTGCCTTTCTTTGATTCTTATATAATCATGCCTTGATTTTTTTCTTTCTTTCTTTCTTTCTTTTTGTGTTTCAACGCCAAAGAACAAAGATCAGAGAGCATACAAATATACACTGGATAGAACACTTATCATGGCTAATTCAATGTGAGAGAAATGAAAAAAAATTTTTACTAAGTTTAGTAAGTTTACTAAACCCCTAAAATAGAACTCAGTTATGCTTCTAGATAGACTAGGAGGTGAATGGCCAAGAAAACTCAATCCTTTTTCCCTAAGATAATTTAGCCTGTGTCAAATAGAGGAAGTGTGTTAAACTGTAATTATAATAACACAAAAACGTAGCAGTTCATAAAACATTTTTTAAAGCATTCATAAATCCTTTGATTTATACCTGATCATCCAATGGCAACTCACAGAAGGCAGGAATATATTTAGCCCATTCCACCAAGACTAAGAGCTGCTGTTTCATTGATTCACAGACATCACCAATACTTGCAATTTTCTTAACATTTATGTCAGTGCTTGCTCCAGGGCTTGAGACTGAGATCTAGCATTAGAAAAAAATTATATTAGTTTATCATCTAAAATAATATATGGCCAGTTTTTTTCCCTATTACTGGGATAAGCAAACACAATTAAATCAGGCACTGTTTTTATAACAGTATTGTGAAATATAGCAAACATCTCTTAACCGCAAAATAAAATATCAGTAATATGGTAAGTTAAATTTGAAAACATTCAAGTCATAGTGCCATGCTCTGACAGTAGTATCTTATTTTACTGGCTAAATGTGTAAACTAAGTGACTATAATTTTAGGGGAATTTTATAAATCGAAACGACTACATAAAAAGATTGATAATATCAACATGGAATATGCTCTATGACTTTACTTTAAAAAATAATATTCCATCAAAAAACTTTATGATTACCTTGTTGACAGTTATGAAGAAAATTTTTCAGAGGATAAAGTTTACCAAACTGGGAAAAACAGATTTAGACAAGAAGTCAGAAATATGTCTGTTGCTCCATTAAATGGAAGGCCATCAAGGTCACATTAAGAAACCAACTCTTGACTCAGTTATGTTGACAAACTTAACACATAACGATGATTTTTAAAACTGTTTAGAATTTTGAACTATATAAAATATAAGTGTTGTTCAAAGGCTTTCTATTAAAAAAAATCTATAGTTTCTATAAACTTAATTTTGGGACATGCATGTACGTATGTATTTTGATGTGTATGGACATTTCTGCATATCGCTCATTTAAAACCATTCTCTAAATGCTTTATTGGACCATCAAGTAATCTTCAAGTAATAATTATGATAATGATGAACTTCACCTCATAATATTACTCTTGAGTTATCAAAAACGAAAGTAGTTGCACTAACTCTTTATAAGACTTGATTAACTAATCAGCTATTTCATAATTTGTTTTATAATAGAAAACTATCATTAACAGGGACAAATCCTGAAATAAACTGTCGTCAAAGGATCTCTTTATTTGACTTTTAAATTATTTATATTTCTGCATATAACTAATGACTTACTTTTTTCACTTTAAAACTGATATTCTCTTTCTAGAAATTAAAAATAATAAAGCACTCTTTCTCCTGTGTTTTTTGAATTCTATCTACTACTAAAATATATTTCCAAAGTAGGTGCCAACATGACTTCTTGAGTCCAAAAATGATTTTCTTTCTTTTTTTTTTTCCTTGAGAGAGATTTTTGCTATAGGGCATGTGTGCTTGTCAGACAGACAAAGATAGAAAGACAGAAAGTGAAAAATTAGCCCCCAGGAGAGATGGTCATGCCGCAATCTCTTCTCCAGCATTTTCCTCTTGGGATTTTGGGCACACAAGCACACGTGCCCAGCATGAGTTTTAAGCTGCCAGGTCTGGGACTCGAACCATGGTAGATTACATGGGAGTCCAGTGACGTAAGCATTATGCTTTATGATGGTCTCTCAAAAATCATTTTCAGAAAAGGGGCTTGGATGACAATTTCAACCGAAATCCCCCCAAATTGTGGTAGCTGTTTTTACACATTACACCAAAAGCAAAGACAAAACAAACAAACAAAAAGCCACCGTCAGAGCACTGTGCTATGCACTGAGTGTTTTTTAACCAGTCTGTACCCAAACTTTGTAAAACAATCTTAGATCAACATTCATTTCATTTTTTCCATTTAAAAATGGGATCTTTCCTAAGAAAAATAAAAATTAAGTCATAGTTCCACTAAGACTTTCCAAGTAACACTTAAATTTGTGTAGATGTTCTTTACTTTAGTATGAGCACACTTGAATGAGCTTATTTTAGCACTGCGCCTCCAGAGACATTCGATTTCATGAAACAGGGCTGGATGCTGGTGTGCTGTGTTTACCTGGCGCGATCGAACTTCCGCTTGGGCCAAGGTGTTAATGGAGGGGATATTGCTGCCATCAAATGTGCTTCTTCTGGTGCTTATTCTATCACGCTCATTTTGCACAGCTGGAGAAGAAAATCACAATATTTACTGACCAGTTCCGTCTAATATATGTCAAGAGATACACAGTTTAAAGGTTCCATTTTGTTTTTTAAAGTAAAAAAAGTGAGAAAGGGTCTTTCTAAAAGACCTTGGTACAGGAAAGTCAGACTGAAGATGTTTCCATTCTGTACATCTTTCTCAAGTAGGAATAGCCAGGTTTGCGCCTATAAAACATTGTTGACTTCACTACTTGCACACGTTAGAAAGTGTTGGGTCAGCCAGTTCTACCACACCGTATTTTTAATAGAAGGTTTTCTACTCCCTTCAAGTTAATAAAACTATAAGATAACTACAGGAAGAATATTGCCTGAGAGATTGACCAGGTCAAAGATAAGAGTGTATTCACTGTCAGAAAATATGAGTCATAGATTTTGAAACTTCCATTTTCTTTTTCCTATAAAACACTAGCAAAAATGGAAAGTAAATTTATTTTAGTTAAGATGATTTTAAGATTACAATCTTATGATCTGTTATGAAACAGTTCTTGGGACAGTTTACAAACATTAATAAATGTTTGCAGCAGGTAGAGGTTTCTCCTAAGAGGACTGAGGTTTGACTAAAAGCACTGAGGAAAGGTGCAGAAATCCTAAAATCACATAAACGGTCTATCTGAGAAAGTTATAAAACTGCTCATTTATATAGAAAAATAAATAAGAATATACTTCTCCAAATTTCTTATTAAAAACTACATTTTTAAACACAAGGAAGAGTGACAGGGGGACTATTAACTCATATATTTTTCATATAAAAAAATAAAAGAAGTCAGATATCAAAGTTGGATTTCAATACTTAAGTGGTAAAATCATCCTTTGTTACCCAAAAAAGAAGGAAAACAGGGCCTTTAGCCTTTAACTTATTTAGGTGAATGATCTCATCAGTTCTATTGGAAAGATAAGTAATTAAAAAGGTCAGACTTTTTTCTGCAATTATTTTCATGTTAAAGACATCCACCAATTTCTATGCCAAAATCTAGAAATAGACCCCAAACTTAACATTAACTATAAATTCCATTAAGTTGGAAGAAAAAATACTGGCCTTTTTGCCTTAAGAAAGAATGACTAGTTTTCAGGTTGGAATGATTCCTTAATATTTTATTTAATATATTTTAATTTGACCAGAGAGAGAAGAGAGAGAGAAGAAAAGTGAGAAAGCAAGCTGCCAATTCTGGGACATGAACTGCAGTAGGCCATGTGGGAGTCCAGTGACCTAACGACCACACCATCTGTCGGCCTCACTCTTTCTTTTTAAACAGAAATTACTGTCGATTTACAACCTAACCTGATTCATTCGGATATGCAAAACATGTTAGCTATGCTCTTATAAATTTTATTTACATGATCAATCTTTGGAAAAATGCTAAAAGATATTGTGAACATTTATAATCTCATTGCTATCTCTTTCTGACATGAAAGAATGTTTATATATCTTTCTTAATTAATTTTGATACTATGCTCTTACTGTAAAGTAGACAAATATATCAGCTCAAAAGTTACTTTCTAATCTAT